ATCATGAGGAACATAATTGGTTCCCAAATGAATGCGGGCTTTTTGTTGAAAAAATAGACACCAAATTGGACAAATGTGTTTCTTATAAATTAAATTAAATGCTTCTTTTACATCTTCAGAATGTCAGTTTCAGAGAATTTTTGTTTGAATTAGGGTTGATTTTATGAGTATGATTTGTCTATTCCTAAAACAAGATAATAATAGTACTTTGGAAACTTTTTTCATGAAACAACGTTAAACTTCATCCTTCAATCTGCCTTTATGTTAAAACAAGCAATATATGTGTAAAGGATAGGAAAATCAACTGGTTTTTTTTAGTTAGACAGAAAAATCGGTAGCATGTTGGAGGACAATAACAATAATGTGTAGAAAACATGAAAATAATTTAAACATATAACAGTTAGCTAACAATGATAGAAACAATTTAGCTTTTTGTGTGAAATATCATATTCTTGTTCGTCAATTTAAATGGTAGGTATTTAAAAAATAGATTAACTTTTCCTCTTTTTTTTTCATCAAAACCAGGTTTTCCGAGTTACATGGACGAAACTTCAATTCTTCCTGTTATTAAATGCATATGTTAACCGATATTTGGTGTAGTTTTTAAAAATAGAGATACTTGTTTTATTTTATCAGCAATTAAATGAAGGCCTTGAGAATTACTGTCAAAATATCAATATAGCATTTCCTTTTCTAATAAACTTTAAAAGAAGGGATATCATAATGATAATTTGTCAAAAATTTCACTTTCTTTATTTACTTATTTATGGTTTGAAGCAAGACGCAGATGTTTGAGTTTATCTGCAATGAAGTTCTGAACAAATGTATCCTGTGCATTGCACAAGATTGTTTCATCCTGTACTGTTTTTGACGTTGCTGTATTAAGTTTACTCTGAAGTACAACTACCTATATAAAAGGGAAGTATGGCAAGCTTTCAGATCAGAAGTTTTTGTACTTTGAGAGCTTCATTTCAGTAATTCTTTTGATATGGTATAATGTTTATTATTGTCTTGTCTGTACATTTGTATAAGAAGTCTTTTACCCCTAAATTAGATTACCTTTGCGTTATTTGGCAAATTCTTTCGAAATTTTGTGGTCCTCAATTCTCTTCAACTTTGTTCTTTATTTCGCCTTCTTAACTTTTTTTTTGTTCGAGCGTCAACGATGAGTATTTTGTGGACGGACGCGCGTCTGTCGTGCAAAATGTTTATCCTTGTATTTATGATGAGTTTATTTATATATACCGTTATTATAGAATAAAATCTTTCTCTGATTCAAACAAAAAATACTCTGAAATTGACATTATCAAAAGTTTTAATTTCTTGATTGACAACATATTTGTTACGTTTGGAGCACATGTTTTTCAACAAGCAGTCATCATTCCTATGAGAACCAACTGTGCTCCTCTTCTTGATGACTTGTTGCGTTATTCATATGAGGCAGAATTCATACCTAAGCTTGTTTATAAGAAAGAAAAGCGAGCAGTTTGCTTTAACTTCACATTCCGCTGTATAGATGATTTATTCTCACTAAATAGTTCAAAGTATGGTGACTGCGCTGAATGCATCTATCCCATCGAACTTGAAATAAAAAATACAACAGATACAGTTAAGTATGTTCTTTATCTTGACTTACAACTAGAAATTGACTATGAGACACGGTTGAGAACAAACCATTAAGATACAAGATAGGTTTGCTTCCCAGTGCCTGCATAGGGAGTATACATCTCCAGTTGATACATAATTCAAGAGCTTGCGTTTCCTATCATGATTTCCTTATGGACACCACCACGAATTTGTCCGTTATGGAATATCTGTTTCAAGAATGACGATGAAGGTATTACAATTATCGTAACCACAACCCTGTCCTTTTTTCCTCGGATTGACATCACCGAATTATACTTATCACCGATATTAAAATAAGTAGAAGTGGTATGATTGCCAATGAGACAGCTAATAATTAAAGTTCAAAGAAGTGGATGTAAGCAATTATAGGCAATCGTACAGTCTTCAACAATAAGAAAACCGCATACCGTATAGTCGGCTATAAAAGGACCCGAAATAAAAACTATAAAGCAATTTAATGCAGAAAACTAACATATCATGTGTCGGTTCCAAGTTAGAAACTTTGATTTTGTCATTAAAGGAGTTTGGTATAGATGGCAGATCCTTGCTAGTCTTTGTTAATTTGCTCGCTATGTTTTTTTCCCAATATCAACGGAAATCAGATATAAATGTACTTAATTTGATAGATTAATTGCATTCAAAGGCCCTTTCGTCGTGCATAAGTTTAAACAGTTAATTACTTGACCCTTTACATTCATTATTCTGAACTTCAAAACAGATTGAAAGAATTAGCAAAACATTGCTTCATAAGAACAATGGTAACCACAGATAAAAATGAAAGGGGCAACTTGTTCTTTGTACTGAGGTTATGAGTTCGTACCTCAAACGTAGCAGGTGCGCTCGACTGTTAATCTTTTATTAATTGCCTAGGATTGTCAGTTTTCCTACAGAAGGTCAATGGTCCTAGAAGCCAATCAATAGTGCTGAAATTGGCGTTAAACATCAATCAATCGATCAATTCTAAATCGATTAAGAGTTTAAAGCAAGGTAACAGACACAATGTTTCACTAGGAAATAGGATACAATCGGTAATATATATAAATAACATTTGGTTGAGGCAAACTAAAGGTAGAATACAGAAACGAAAAATTCTGCAATTTTTCATTTGTAAAGGGGCATAACTCTAGAACGGTTAAAATGACACCACCAAAATTCAAACTTGATCTGTGTTTTGTGGTAATAAGCATTGTGTATAAATTTCATAACATTTGGTTGAGGCAAATTAAAGTTAGAGAATGGAAACAAAAAGTTCAGCAATTTTTCCATTTGTAAAGGGGCATAACTCTAGAACAGTTAAAGTGACGCCACCAAAATTCAAAGTTGATCTGTGTTTTGTGGTAATAAGCATTTTGTATAAGTTTCATAACATTTGGTTGAAGCAAACTAAAGTTAGAGAACTGAAACCAACTTTGGTACGGACGTACAGACGGACAAGGATAAAACTTAATGCCCCCTCAGCAACGGCGGGGGCATAAAAAAGAAGTGATGATACCAATGGGACAATCGAAATTCATGTTTCCAATAAAAACCAGACAACATATAAATGGCCAAAAATATAAACGACAAACAACAATTACAAATACTACACTGATAACTAAGGAGACGACCACCTTAGCAGCTTCACCTGCATATGGGAAATATGGGATATACATTTCCCAACTCATTCGGTATTCAAGAGCTTGCAGCTGCTACTCAGACTTTATAAAACGTCACCAGTGTCTGAGCAGAAAGTTGATGAACCAGGGTTATGTCAAAGAACGTCTCGTCCTTTTTTTTTTTTAAAGTTCATCGACAGATACCAAGACTGTGTTGATAAATATTCTGCATCAACTTCACAAATAATAATGATAGTCTTGAAGTATAGATTTTAAGTACTGACATTGTTTATCATCTTAATGATGTGTTATAATATTCTTTTTATTTGTCTTTGAACATTTTTAACCTTTGCTGTTTATACCATTTTTGTTAATATCCTTTTGGCGTGGCTCATTGTGTTATTGTGCTATGGTCATTTTTTGTATTCTTGTCTTCATGTTTGCTTATGTGCTTTGTCTTTAGAGAATCTATGCCATTTTGTTTTTCTTTGTTGACATAGTTGTTTGTTTTAATAGTGATTAAGATTATAACACAATGTTGACTTCTGTACCCCAATTTTTCACATTTTTACCTATTATGTCAGTTTGTTTTGCTTACACATTGTTGTCAATATAATGGAATTTTATGCGACTGTCATACAAGTGAGAGGTTTAGCTACCTTTAAAACCAGATTTAATCCAGCATTTTCTACATAAGGAAATGACTGTACCAAGTCAGGAATATGACAGTTGTTTTCCATTAGTTTGATGTGTTTGAGCTTTTTTTGCCATTTGATAATGACTTTCCGTTTTGAATTTTCCTTGGAGTTCGGTATTTTTGTTATTCTACTTTTTGATATTCTCGGTAGGGGAAAGAAGTTTTTTTTCTGATGGAATACTCATATTACTTTCACATTTTGTGAGTCTCGCATTTTTTATTTTTTTTACTTTAAACTTTAAACTTAAACCTGGGTGGAACTCAGATGCTCTAGTGGCACCAGTCGTGTTGCTCATGCAAGTACACTTCTAAATATAAGTTGCATTCGGTAATGGCACAATAGAAGAAAGAGGACGGGATTGTTTAACAAGTGGAACATATTCGGGTCATCTGTAACACAGATATTCCATAAAAGTCAATCAAACACTATCGTAAAACTTTTAATGGACAGACTTCAATTTTAGCACTTGGAACACTTAATGGAAGCAGTTAACCCCCATCAAGGAATTCACTCTAGAATAGGATAAATTTGGAGATATGTACTCCATATCAAAGCGCTGCTCCAATGTTGCTAAATTGAAATGGAACATTCACACTTGGGAAATTGAAAAAATCCCTTTGTCGTAAATTAAGTTCTTAAACAAAAGTCATTTTCAGTTTCTAGATAAAAGTTAGAGACAGACTTAACTGTCATATCCTTTATTTCAAGTTTGTTTGCATTGATGCAGTCAACATAGTCACCAAACTCAGAATTATTCACGACATAAATGCTTACTCATTATTGGGGGAAGTCTGTCAAGCGGAGCAAAGTGTGAAGTTGATCTGTAGGTACTCATCATTTACCAGTAATGTAAAATAATATATTTGGATAACACATTTATCTATTAGTTGTAATTGGCTCTGATCTAGCTTTCAGTACCTGTCAGTACTCATAGAATGGTACTTTGTGTCTTTAGTCTATTGTTAAGTTTTTTTTTGTGCTTTGTGTTTCACAAAATACCAAAACGCGGATAAATAGAAAAATAGATGAATAAACATGGGTATATCATATTATTGCCATTCAAGACGAAGATGTATAAAAGCATGGTTCAGACAAACTTTTATTTTAATCCCCTTAAAATTAACAGTTATTCTATGTTGTGTTTAAAGCTTCATTCAGATCATTCATATCTATGTTTTCAATGTCCATTTCTGTGTTTTTATTTTCTGGTAATTGATTGTGCCAATGTTTAGCTTTACTTCCACGACCTCGTCCTCTCGACCGCTGAAATCCTTTAGATACACCATGTCCAAAAGAAAAATTCTGAGGTACTCTGAAAAAAATAATTGATAGAGTAACATTGAGCAATGCATTGATATAATATGATAACCCCCATACATTCCCATTTTACACTGACATTTTTGAAACTTTAGTAAAATTGAATATAGTCCAAACATCCTTTCTGACCTTACAATCTGGTTGGATGTAGGCTACCATAATATCATGTTACAATCATATCCTTTGAAACATTCATGTTATGAGTCAGAGTGCACTTTGTATTACTGGATATAAGAAGTATATGACTTTGAACTATATTCCTGATCTTTACCTTCTAGATAAACAATTCAACCTTGCCAATGACACATCCTATAAAGTAGGCTACCATACCAACTAATTTAATAGCATTCCAAAGTTATAAGCTGGACATGACTTGATCTATTGCCAGTATTGGACAGACAGAGATTCCTATAAACTCCTCCCTCTTTGTTTGTATAGGTAGGTATAACAATTTTACTGTAGTATTAATAAGGGACAGGTTTGTCTTATATTTGTGGAAAAAAATAGGTAAGCAGGAATTGTACATGCCTGATGAAACTTTGGATTTACTATTTGACATATTGTATGAATACCTGTTTAGTGTTGAAGATTGTTACTATGTTGATCTCTAGATGTCTTTTAAATATTTGTATCATTAGGTTTCTATCTCATTGATGCAAACCCAACATCTTTTTTCTTCATCTTTAACATGTCAATTATTCCTATTGATGCTAATGTTTTTCTTAAGTTGTATGGTAAGCCAACAATCTTTTTTCAATAGTATTATATAGACAAGGCAATTTCAAATCAATGCATTCCCTTGCAACCCTTTTTCTAATACACAACCACACATACACACACTTGCATGTGTAGAATATAGTGATACTTATTGCCTTCATAAAATTCATTGTTTGGACACAAAGACAAAAATTACCTCTCATATTAGATGTTTCCCTCCTTGTGGCGACAAACACACACATTAGTATCTCCCATGCATGTCAAATTTTATTTCATATGTCCCTTGCCATCTTGATGGGTGTAATTATTTTTAGTCAGCCCATTCTCCAGGAAATTAATGATAAGGTCATACAGTAACATGTTATGTTTTCATCTGAGTCCTTTGTTATATGGATAGTTGTCTAATTGGCAATCATAACAAATCTCTACATTTTTGTTGAGCCTGCAACATGTATGTCGCTAAAGAGAACATATTCTAGTTTCAGTCAGCTTCAGCATTTAGGTTCAGTCTATGGTTTACGTTTATTAGACATCATTTACTTTGACAACCCTTTATGAAATTTTATGAACAGAAGCTTTTTCGTGACCAAAAGACAGTATCCTGAGCAAAATAATAAAGACTTTTTTTTTATGTTTTTATATATTTTACTGATAAAAGGACTTAGTTTTTTACAGTTAACAAGTGGATACAGTCTGTTGTTAAAGTTTGTTACACATCAATTACTTTGTCAAACCTTCATAGAATTTTATGAAACTTTGGCAGAAACCTTTTAATGATTAAGAGATAATGTCTGAAGCAAATTTTGAAAATATGTCTTTTTTTCATTTTCATGATTTGACTCATAGATGGGCTTAGTTTTTTTCAGTTAACATTTATATATAGACAGTCTAAGATTATGTTTTTTTTACACAAAAAACTTGTTAACCTTCATGGACTGTTATGAAACTAGGACAGAAGCTTATTTCAACATCATGAAATAGCATCTTTAGAAAAAAATTTTTTTTATTTTTTTCATTTAATATTTTACTAATAAATGGACTCACTTTTTACAGTCAACATTACTCTTATACACTGACAACAGCAATTATAGGTGAGACACAGGGTTTTGCAGAACTCTTTAAGGATTTTATATAAAAGGTCAGTTTTTAAACCTTTTTTTTTTCTCAGTATAAGGATGTAATTAATATTCATCATCTGAAACTAGATACTGTCATTTAAAAACAAATGTGTATACAGCATCCCCTGAAACAGCAATAATTCAATTAGCATTTGTGTTGATTGTACAACAGTCCAAATAATAAATGCCCACAATAATTTCTGAACTAATAGTACACTACCTATAGCTGAACTTTAGTTTAGGTCTGTTCTCTTTGTCAACTTCTGTTTCCATTGACACAGATTCTGTCAACATTCCTGGACGACTCTTATCTTGCAGTTTTAGTCCATGGTCATTACTGTTATCCCTTTCTGTTTCCATGGAGATGAATTCTGTTGAGGTTCCACATGGAATTTTATCTAGTAATTCCTGTTTGTTCTCTTTACTGGTATTTACTGTTGTTTCCATGGTTATAGATGTTCTAATTTTTTTATTGGTGTTTGAACTATAGAAAAAAAAAATGCTTTTTCATGTTTTGTTTATTAATATATTGTGTATATATCATTAGAAATTTTGTTGATTCCAAGAACTTTCAAGATCACTTTAATAAGTAAAGAGTAAGGGTCCATTACTCATAAGAATGTTTGTGGAGAGTAACAGGTTCTCTGCAGGAACAACAAACTTTGCAATAAGACTATGAGTGGTGCACATCACATGCAAGCCAAAACATCCGCCACTACCCAGATTAAAGAAGCAAATAAACTTTAGTTATTATCAGAAGGTTATGCATTTTCAGCTTGCTTTCAGTAACTGTGAGCATATCATTGATACAATATTATTCCCCATAAAATTAGTTGTAACTGTATTTTTGTTGACCATCATTCTTTTATTAAGGAGATTAAAAATGTTCTGGCCTAACTGAGATAGCAAAGAGTAAAGCCCTAGTTTTGTCAACTTAAAAAATCATGAAACCTGATTTTAACAATATTTATTTGTCACTTGTTTGAAACTTGCTCGTCATTTATTTGTGTTGGCTTGGGTGTTTATCTGTAGGCAACACATTGAAACTTCTTTTAGCGTCCTTTTTGTCAATTTTGTCCAGAACTTGAGAAAGATTTTGATGTTGGTTTTCTTTAAAGTAAAATCATAATATGGAACAACAATATTAAAATGGAAAACACGACAGGTTTGATATCTTGTCTTGTTTTCACTTAATTAATTGGTTGTTGCTTGTTTAACATCCAATAAAATGAGAACAAATAAATAAACATTTTACCTTTGTCATTTCGGGGCCTTTTATAGCTGACTATGCGGTATGGGTTTTGTTCATTGTTGACCTATAGTTGTTAATTTCTATGTCATTTGGTCTCTGGTGGAGAGTTGTCTCATTGGCAATGATACCACATCTTCTTATTTTTATATTCCATACAAAAAGTAAGTTTTGCAAGGTAGGTCCACCTGAATAAAGGATGGGGGTCAGAGTTCAGATTTTTTATCAAAAGGAATGGTTCAGAGCTATTTGAGAATTGAACTTCAGTATTTGGAATTACCTTTTATTTGATGTCTTCTCTCTGTCAAACCTGAAGTTGCTAGGATATTTATGAACCTTTATCATGTGATTTTTTCTTTGTTTTCGATTGGCTAACTTCATACTACAGGTAGGAATAAGACACTGAAACTATAAATTAAAGATGGTTACAAAGGTTACATCGCTATAAGATTACTGACTTTTTGCAGATTTGTTTTGACAAATTCTCATTAAACTATTTCTTCATCAAAGGTTCAAACAAAGAGAAATGTGTATCACACTTTCAGTGATATGAATGTGTTTTTGTCAGAGCTAGTTATTCATAAATTCTTTAGTTTACAGAACCCTATAAGTGGTTGTCTCTATATATTCATACAATGTGTAAATACCATTCCTGTCACAAAATCCCCAAGAAAAGTAAATACATTCCAACTTCTTGCTTGGGACAATTAATTTCTGTAATAGAACAACCAGTAGTGACAATTCAGAAAACTTATCGGGGAAAGTAGATTTTTGTATTGTGTTTGTCCCTGGATAAGTAAAGAATTTGGATATTTCCACACCCATGATTCAAAGCAATTCAAGAATATCAAAAAAGATGCAAATACAGAATTTATTATAAGCTCTTGTGTATGATCTCTTGTATTGTACAGGAGCTCTTGTTTATAGTAAAAGGCTATTCATTGAAGTTATTTTTTTTCTCTTTAAGTTTCCTATCTTTTGTCATAAATTAGTGATAATGAGTTGATATTTGATTGATCTTTAATGTGCATCCCTGGAGAGGTCTCAGTTATTTTATTACACTTTCACAATATTATTTTTTTATATATTTTGGTTTTATTGTTGAGTTACTGTCAAATGTTGTTTAGAAAACTTGATTTTACCAAAACTAACTACAGCTCACCATGTGTTGTTTTTCAGCCATTAATTCAAACATGGAATCATGCCACTCTAACAGATGTATATCTAACAGGTGACTGGATGGATAAAATCTTCTACAGATACTACAAACGTTCCTATGGATACTGTTGTAATGGGATTCATATCTGAAATCAATTCTCATTCATTCATTCATAGTATGGATGGGAATTCCTTCAATTCAATATTCTTAAATTTTCATGTCATTTTTCTCTATTCTTTATATGTTTTACCCATTATTCTCTATTCTCTATATTTCAGCACCTCAGTATTCTTTATTCTTTATATTTTGGCCAAAATTTTCTGTATTCTTTATTTTAGGGGCCCTCATACAGTTGGGTTTTATCTTATTTTTGTACAGTTGAAACCAATATATTATTGAAGCAAGCATCTGGGAGTTAAGTGACGTCATATGGACAAGTTTGGGGGATTGGACATGTTTTTGAGGGTTACATATAAATGTATACACTTATACTTATGAACATATATTGTGACATATGTTCATTAGTATAATCTGATAACTGGTGTGATCATGTTATGCAGTATGGGTTTTGCTCATTATTGAAGGCTGTATGATGACCAATAGTTGCTTACTTCTATGTCATTTGGTCTCTGGTGGAAAGTTGTCTCATTGGCAATCATACCACATCTTCTTATTTTTATATGTACATGAATCCTGTGGTATGTTGGTCCCTTGTCACCTGTGTTGCAGAGAACTACTCACATAATACTTTACAACCTGCAGTTTATTTGTTGTTATAAATACTTACTCAGCTAAGGACTGGAAGGATTTGTCACATGTTCCTATACCACAGTTAAATATTGGTTTCCTAGAAATAATACAATATTAGTGTAATGAGTTTTGATCTGGTTAGTACTTTTGATTTCTACAAACTATGTTGATTTCTCCAGTAATTTACAAAATAAAAACAGACATGTTATCTTTTTTTCTTGATTTATGAAGTCTTTATCTTTATCAAGTTTGTTTTTATGACATCTGATATTTACCATACATTGTATTTATTTAATCATTAAATTTAATAACTGGTGCTGAAAGAAGACAAACCCTCATCATGTACATGTACAATGTCAAACTAGGATTGTCATCTCTCCTTATATTGCTAATAGGTTTTAGTTGACAGTTTTCCACTGTCTGATTTTCTGTTGAACCATTGATTAAAAAATAATTCATGTGAAAAATCTATTTCATCCTCAGCAAACAATAAATAACAAAATATCATACAAATTTTTCAAAATATTGAACAATCTTTCACTGTTACCTTTCAAGAATATCGTCCACATCTTCTTTATAGGTAACATGCTTTGTTGCTAAGCAACAAATAATATTTCCCTCTTCAAAAAGTGGACTGTCGGTCTTCATTAATCTTTTGGTTGTAATCCAGCTCCATGATAGTTTTGTTTTCATTTTTATTGTTTTTGTGAATAAAAAAAAAATTTCTGTATATATAAGACTAAAGATAAATAAAACAGAAATAATAAATTTGAGGAAATTTTCTTTTCAGCAGAGTTATTTTTCAGCTAAGGGAAAAGAAAGTCTATCCATTATATCATCAATTTTATCTTGTAATGTTTCTAAAATGTCTGATGAGATGAATAGGCAGTTTTCACCAAGATCTTGGATGACAAATTTGCGACCAAATGCTTCTGTGTCGTCTAGATGAAGAAGAAACTGTTTCATAGCTGGATCACATTCTACAAGGATTCCTTTAGTTACGTTCACCATTATATCAACATATCACTGAAACAAAATGTTAAATATAGTTTTATTATTGATTATTCATGCATTAAAACAAAAACAGCTTTTAATATGAAATTACTGTGACTTGACTGTAAGTGTTGCTCTCCACCTATTGCAGTTTATTAAAAATTCTGACGAAATTGCAATTTGTTTTATCAAACCAAACTGTTCAACTGGTCAGAAATTTTAACAAACTGCTGTAGATAACCACAGTCAAGTCGTGAAAGTGCAAGGTGATAAAGGAAAGCATACTTACATTCAGTTTTATATAAAGATTGGACTAAAAAGGGGGTTTGGCTGATTAATGACTTGTTAGATGAATGTGGAAATTTCATGACTTTTGATAACTTTAAAAATGTATACAATATCAAAACTAATTTCCTTACATATCAAGGCTAATAATTTCTGCAATAAAAAAGTATTTAAAAGAATATAATATATGTATCAATGACTTAGTGAGAGAAAACGGCCCAGTCTTGCCCTCAGTTATAAAAATATTTTTCAAATCCCCGAGAGGTTCAAAAGATATGTATAATATTTTAAACAGTAAAAAGTCAAACCTTAAACAGAAATGATAACAAAAATGGTCCTTAATTCTCAATACAAACTACAATTGGAAAATATCCATATATTGCCCTTTTATATTACCAAGAATTCAAAATTGCAGTGGTTTCAATACAGAATAATACATCGAATTTTAGGTACGAAAGAACTTCTCTTTAAAATAAAAGTGAAAGATACAAATAAGTGTAGTTTTGGGTGTGGAGGTGTCGAAACAATAGAACATCGAAGATACCAATTCTGGTATTTATTCAACAGGAGAGAGAGACACCTATTGACGGTGTTGGAGAGCTGCCTTGAAGCGCTCAACTGTATTAGTGCATACAATACTGTCTTCCAGTTGGTTCCAATGTATTATGCTCTTAACAAAGAAAGAGTTCTTATATGGATCTGTATTATATGAAATAGTGTTTAATGACTTCGTATTGTTCTTCACTGAATTTGCCACTATATTTTCTCTTAGGTTTACCAAGGATTTGTATAGATCTTACTATACAAATCCTTGGGTTTACTTTTAACCAGAAAATCGTTAGGATTAATAGCTCAGACCAAACCCTCAACCAGTTTGTACAGAAATACCAGCCGTTGACTTGTTCTTCTTGACTGTAGATTGTCCAGTTCTAACTTGGCTATCATTTTAATCTTGACTCAATACACCTTATCGCTATTTGTCTGCCATTAGGCATTACTGGACATCACAAAGGTTCCGGTAAAATTTTGAAGACACAATAGAAAATTTCTGACGCCACAATGGAAAAGTGATTGTTGTATGACGTCAAAAGTTCAAGCGGCGCAGATTTCCAAATAGCGATAAGGTGTATTAGAATGTATTTCAATCATAAATTTGTGTGTTATGCTCTTTGTGGGCCCTATAATTTGGAAAAAAATAAAATACTCTATTCTATTCTATTATCTTATGATCTCATATGTAAATCAGTAAACGAGATTTTGAAAAGAAAAAACTCATGTCAGATCTACCAGAAAATTATCCAGACAGCGAACAAATAATCATCACAATTAATGGAGTGGAAAAACAGCTGAAAAATCTTAAACCACACAAGGCTGCTGGACCAGACAACATCAAGCCAATGATTCTGAAAGAACTAGCCAGTGAAATTGCTCCAATCTTAACCATCATATACAATTTTTCAATGGAGAATGGAAAGATACCCGATGACTGGCGAACTGCAAATGTCACTCCAGCATATAAGAAAGGCCAGAAATACATAGCAGCTAACTATAGGCCAATATCCCTAACATGTATTTGCTGCAAAATAATAGAACACATAGTCACCAGTAACATCATGAAACATGCAGAGGTAAATAACATACTATACCCATTACAACACGGCTTCAGAAGTAAAAGATCATGCGAAACACAACTCCTTGAATGTATCGATGACATCACAAAAAACCTGGAAAACGGAAAACAATCAGATCTGCTAATACTTGACTTTTCAAAAGCTTTTGATAAGGTGTCCCACAGCTTACTCCTCCATAAATTACACCATTATGGCATCCGAAGTAAAACAAACAAATGGATAAAGGAATTTCTCACCAATAGAACCCAGGTAGTAGTTGTTGAAGGCGAAACATCTGACAAAGTAAAAGTAGAATCCGGAGTACTGCAAGGATCAGTATTAGGACCCAGTCTTTTTCTGTTTTACATCAACGCCCTACCAGAAGGCTTACACTCCACAGTGAGACTGTTTGCGGACGATACTGTGGTCTATTTGACAATTTCATCAGACAGCGACTGCCATAAACTCCAAGAAGACCTGGACAAACTGGCAAAATGGGAAGAACTCTGGAAAATGGAGTTCCATCCTGAAAAATGTAGTGTCCTCACAGTTACAAAAAAGAAAAAGCCAACCAAGTGGGACTATAAACTCCACAGCCATACTCTGGTGCATGAAACATAAACTAAATACCTAGGCTGCACCATCGCAAATGATCTAGATTGGGGAGAACATATAAACAACATCACAGGAAAAGCCAGCCGAAGCCTTGGTTTCCTACATAGAAACCTCCACATTAGCTCAAAATCCATCAAAGAGCATGCCTATAAAATATTAGTAAGACCGCAAATGGAATACGCCACGACAGTATGGGACCCGTACCAGCAAAACCACATAGATAAAATTGAAAAGGTACAAAGAAGAGCTGCACGATATGTAACCAGCAGACATAGAAATAGATCAAGTGTCAGCAACATGATAAATGAATTAGGATGGAAAAGCTTACAAACAAGACGAAAAGAAGCACGACTCATCATGTGTTACAAAATAACAAACGACCTTGTAGCCATAGACAAGAATAAATATCTACGAAACCAACAAGAAGCTCAAACCGGACAGGACAACATACTTACCTATTACAGCCAGCCACCAAAGACTGTAGGAAATGGTCCTTCTTCATAAACACCGTCAAGGATTGGAACAAACTGCCACCAGATACCGCCACAGCAAAGTCTCTTGAGATATTCAAGTCTCAAGTCACCAAAACCACAAACTAAATCATCAGAACAATTTGTTTTTATCCTGTTTTTAACCTGTTTTTAATCATGCGCAACTTGCCAGAATATTCATCATGTTGAATGTGGGCAGTATTTGGAAGAAGAAGATATGATCTAAAGTTAATATTATAAGCTTTCTTGTTTTGTTAAAACTTACACATTTGCTATTCGCCTAATTCAGGGGAATATAAGTAAGGGGGAGGGAAACCAATGATAATATGCTGGGAAGATCTTATTCGAACCTTTTTGAATTTTACCATCTCAAACGACTAAATATCAGAGATTATCGAAAAATAAATCGTATCTTGCCATTGGTTTAAAAACTTTACGTCAATATGACAATCATTTATAACATGAATATTGATATATTTGAACTCTATTATTCTAAAATTAAAAGGTCAATACACCGGTTTGTTTACTAGCTAACGCCGCGTATTAATCACAGCCATGCACATGTTTAACTGACTTGAGATATGATTATATATATATTTTAAAGTGGCAACATTTAAAAAAAAGACCTTAAATTTATTTGTTTCCGTTGTGCACATATTTTTTGTTAGTTATTAACGAATTGGTGACAGGTAATTTGCATTCGACCTGCAATGCTCCCTTACCGGGTAGTTGTATTCGAACTGTTCGTTGTTCAGTTACTCTGAGTCAGTGATGATAATTTCATTTTTTTCCGTCTTCATCTTTTTATAGACATTTGTTCTATTAATATATGGATGCATAATTTAGCTACTTATAACTGGGACTATTATACTAACATAGTATAATAGTCCCAGTTTATAACAAAAGCGGCTTAGTATGCATCTGAGACTACTATATCATGAACAGTGTTATAGTAGTCTCAGTATGCATGGAAAACAGAATAATTGAATGCAGTTTTCTATATTTTTTAGGACCACTGTATTTGTCAATGTGAAATCATATAATATATAGATATAAGAAGATGTGGTATGAGTGCCAATGAGACAACTCTCCATCCAAGTCAAAATTTAAAAAAAGTAAACCATTATAGGTGAAAGTACGGTCTTCAACACGGAGCCTTGGCTCACACCGAACAGTAAGCTATGAAGGGCCCCAAAAATTACTAGTGTAAAACCATTCAAACAGGATACAAAAAAAAAACATTATTGTGTCTTTTTCTTTTCTTGTCATCTTATCAATAAAATCAGAAGTCCATTATACTAGACTAGTCTAGTAATGGACTTCTGATAAAATCTATTAAAGAGTTTATAGAAAAAAGATGTGGAATGATTGCCAATGAGACAACTCTATAATTAAGAGACCAAATGACACAGAAATTCAAAAATGAACAAAGCCTTATAAAAGGCCCGGAAATGACAAATGTAAAACAAATAAAACGAGAAAACAAGCGGTCAAATTTATGTACAAAATAATGAACGAAAATCAAATATGTAACACAGCAACTAACGACAACCACTGAATTACAGGCTCCTGACTTGGGACAGGCACATATAGAATGTAGCGGGGTTAAACATATTAGCAGGCGCCAACCCTCCCCTAACCTGTGCTATGGAGGAATAGTACAACATAAGAACAAATCATAAACATCAGTTGAAAAAGGCTTAACTCATCAGATGGATATAAATAGAAATACATCTATAACAAAAACACAGACTCCTTGCATTCATTTAATAAACTAGCTAGATCCATCCTTTGACCACAACCTGTGATATATTCCAGGCGCGGATCAAGTCATTTTGAAA